CCTGAAATGAAACTTGAATATTGAGATTCTAGTGGATTGAAACTTGTGGAAAACTAATAAAACAACAATCACTGAAATATTGACTATTGAAATGAACATATATGTCAACTCCCAGCAATCATGCCTTAACTGGCAAATATTTTGGTAAGTGTATCAAAAAGCACTAGGTGGGTCCTAGGCAGCTTGGGGGGTCCAGGCCGCCCAGCATCTAGGCGGGTGCCAGTTGAAATTTGAAGAAAAGTAAAAACCATACCAAATTACCAATATAATACCATATGCCAAGTTGAAATAGAAAAAAGATAGTATTGAGAAGAGAATTTTGATAATCCATATTGTTAAAATAGTAAACTGTAAAACCATACAAGTGTAGGTAGGATATAAAAGTCAAGGATATAAAAGTCAACACTCAACACAACAGAAATTTGGGAAATATACAGTATAACAAAGTCAACACTCATGACTCAACACAACAGTCAACAAACTCAACACTCAACACTCAGCACCGAGAGGCAAGAGTATTTAGCTGTTGTCATCATCCTCAGAAGGAATATCAATAGGGCAAGCCTTATCATATGCATCAGAGTCGAGGCCATCATCATCAGAGTCATCTCCCTCTTCAATATAACGCTCGTCCTCCTATGTTTCTTCATAATCTACCTCTTCCTCCTCCTCTTCTTCTACCTTCCTCTTACTAGTCTGTGCAGATGAGGTCCTAGGAGTTTTGGCTACTCTACTCTTTTCTTTGTGCTTCTCTGAACTCAAACACTGTATAATTTGCTCTTTGATAGCCTCAAGAACATTTTTACAAGGGCAACATCCCCCTTAATACCGGCAAGGTGTTTTTTAAACTAGTAAATGCCCCCATTAGTATCATTTCCATAATAATTACATTTAATACAATTTTTATCACTTAGATTCGGGTTATAACTATACTTCCAACCCAGATCACCACTCCATCTAGAATCTGGAGAAGATACTTCCATAGAACAAGGTTTATTTTCATCATTTTCTGGTTCTTCAAAATTCAGAAGATATCTAATCTCATCTCGAACTGCTTCAGGTACCGTTGTACAAGAAGCAACATTACCTATAACACCAGCAAGGTGTTTTTTGAATCGGCTAATATCCCCATTGGTATCATTTTCACAAAAATTACACCTTATACAATTTTTATCATTTGGTTTTGGGTTGTACCCATACTTCTAACCCGGATCACTTTTCCTAGGAGTAGCAGAAATAGATCTATGACAAGGATTTTGTTCTTGTTTTTGTTTTACATAACTTATAAATTGCTTAATCTCCTCTCTGATAGCTTCAAGAACATTTTTACAAGGAGCAACATCCTCCTTGATACCGACAAGATGTTTTTTAAACCGATTTATGCCTCTTTTTATATTTTTTTCACAAAAATTGCATTTAATTCAATTTTTGTCATTTGGATTCGGGTTGTATCCATATTTCCAACCCGTATCTCCACTCCGACTAACTCCTGAAGAAGACATCTCAAAATAAAACAAGCAATTGAAAAAATGCGCTTACTTTGGTTGCTTGAACTCCAAACTTTGAGAAACACTTCGATGATTCGATCCAATGAAATGTAGTTTTTTGGATGTTTCTTTCTCTCTAAAAGGGTTTCTTGTGGGTTTAGGTTTCAAATGAACCTAAAACCCATCTTTCTAAACTTTTATATCTTTAAAAAAAAAAAAAACCTTTTCCGCCTTTGGGTGGGGCGCAAGCTCTAGGCGACTGCTTAAGCGGGTTCTGTACCGCCTAGGCGGTCGCCCAAGGACCACCGCCCAGTTTGGCTGCCTAGGCTTGGGCGATGTGCCCAGGCCTTCTAGACCGCCTAGGCGTTGGGCGGTCTGTTTTTTTGAACAATGATTTTGGTCCATTACTGACACTAAATATCTCATACAAAAACCAAAACCAACATCAGTTGTACCCACCCCCCCCTCTCTCTCTCTCTCTCTCTCTCTCCTCTCTCTCTCTCTCTCTCTCTCT